GGGTCTTAATGCCTTTCTGACGTTGTCTTGCTTCAACGTACTTCTCAGACGCGTTTATCTCAAATGCATTATGAGTTCCAGGCCCCTTGCTTTTGGAAGTTTCTGTGACACTGGGACTTTCTACAACGTTTTCTATCCTCCCCTTATTTTTCAATCGTTTACCAAGACTCGCTTCTCCCGTGGTTCCAATGACATTTGGGCGCTAATTTCTAACACTGGAACAAACGCACACCCCAGCTCTAATCAACAAATGATGCTCATCGGTCAGCTCAACTACTATTTTATTGCTATGATGGTGGTGATAATGACAATGAAACATGGAATGGCTGAAAGGCAATATTAAGAAACATCTATCCTCTACCTTGTAATATAGCTCACTGGTTGATGGGCGAATCTACCGCGGAAAGTTCCGCAGTTCGAACCCGACCCTGTCATTTCGACCGCTTCTGTTTAGGCTTAAAAAACATGACCGATTTCAGATGGCGCGGCTACCAGACAGCAACTGATTGTTGCAGTTGGAATTTCCCGAGTTTGGATAAACTGCCTCAAATTTTCCATCATTTTCCAGCTGGGTTAAAAAATTTTGGGCGGTCCTGGATCTGCCGGTGAGGGCTCTTTCAACATGACTTTGACATCAGGGCCAACGGATTTTGTAATTTCTAGTGTTGTGACGCCTATATTTTTGAGGATAACTGAATGGCTGTGGATCAACTTGTTCGTCCTTCAGGTGACATCTAACTGCATTACTACCAAGCACGTACGTGGCGATCTTGGCCTCTTGAAGTTCTATCAGGCTTAATATCACACTTCCTTGTGGGCGAAGGTGTCCGCAAGTCTGGAAACTGTTTCTGGAATTTTTCCGCTTGCAACCAATATCAAGTCAGCAACAGCTTCGCGGATTAAATGAACTGCGAATTCGGTTGCTCGGAAGTGGACCACTCATTTAACTCACGTATGAGGGAGAAGTCTTTCGAATAACTGCTTGCTTTCCACTGCCGCTGATTTAATCCCATTTCACTAAGTGTTGCGAATTCTTGCATAATTATGCTTGACTGTCGTTTTTTGAACACGTTTTTTGAACACGTCTTTTTGGACCAATAGACTGTCTTTCAAGTGATCTTATTGAGCAGAGCTTTTCTACCCATTTTTTTCATTTTCCCTTCTGCTGAGCCATGATTAAAATGTCCGTAAGGCGTATTCCCTGACATTCGTTCAGATGGCACGACTTTCGTGACACCGTCAACATGTTCGCGATTTTTAGTGAACAACATTATTGGGTAAAGTAACCATAGGAAGTCTTAAGGTGTTAATCACGAGATGCTAACCTTAATTTTAAAAATTCCTTCGTTTGCTGTAACCAAGGGACGTGACAAATTAATCACATCTATCGTGGTCAACCGTGGTTTGTATCCCAGGTTTAACTCCCAAATGGTAGAATTCGGGAAGAGGGTGTCAGAGTGTATGCTACCTTAAACAGTCTACTAGCTTTTCAGGTCATCTCCGTTTTGTCGTTATCTCAGTTTATCCATCCGAACGCAGGTTTTCACGAATTTTGAATGTACTGTGGCACCCGCTATGAACGTGTGCACACAAAGGGGCCATCAAACATCAAACTTTATGCAACGTATGCCCACAAAAGTGCAGCAATAGAGACCAACTGGTATTTTGGTGCTCAGAGCTACGCTTGCCTAACTTGGTCAGAACAGTCACGATGAGCGTCATCTCACAGCGATGCACCACATTGGTCAGGTTGATCAACAGACACACAGAAGACCAATATTTACGTATCGATCGCGTGAGATAAAGTAAACAAATCCTTCGCTTGGTGTATCGAAGGTGTTATTGATAAATCGTCAGAAAGTGCATTTACAGAATGAAAACAAGTAACTCAATCTCAAAGTTTTCGTGGTTTAAAAAACCAATACACTGATTAATTACGAGAGGTTATCAAGCTTAGGGTGAGAGTGAACAACATCTTTTTATGGGTAGGATAACTGCGTTGTTGGATTGAAGGCTGTCACTTTTGGCAGGTTGTCTTAAATAGGGGGACTCTAACAGCAAGTGAAATTTCAAGAAATCGGTGGCAATCGGTGCATAGAACTACAAATGTACGACAATCTGTTGACGACCTGTTACACTTAGGATCCGGCAACCAAAATCACCCCTCATAACCACTGAACAGTACTGGACAGGATATGTTTTTGTGCGGGATGCATGACCAGGCTTCTTTAACAAGCATGTCTGCCTGAGACGATTGACCGACTCAGAAAGATGGGTGAACTTTAGAGAGTTTTGAGACATTCATAGTTGACTTACTTTAGACCAAAGCACTTGCCGTCCGCGCAACGGGAGGATAATAGAGACTGATTCTGATGTTTAACAACGCGAAACCTCAGTGTCTGGCTGTAAGGAACAGCCAGGAGAAAATTGTTGGCACAAACCTTGATTACCTGAGGGGGATCAGGCTCTGCAACATCAGTGTTGACACCAATGCATTGTCTTCTGGGTGATGAGTTTGAGGTTTTAGACTAGATTGGCAACACTTGGATGACGTGAGACATTTGATTTTATTCCATTTTGCAGAATATCACTGGGCTTCAGGTCACCAATTCAACATTTCCAACGCAGGTTCAAATGTCCAGGAGGTCCATTCCCGACAGCAGCCCTTCCGGTATTGTGTAGTCAGAGAGCGAGAGTTCGAATAATGCCAGGACATCAGCACTGGCGACGAGATTGTCATAGTTGGATTTCGAGAGTGACACCGCGTCATTCACCAAGTGTTATAGGCTTCCGAGTAGGACAAACATTAAGATTTCATGGGCACCAGCAAATCCGCATTGTGTGGTGTGCATTGTGCATTGCGTGAGTCCGAATCATTGTTGGACACAGACGGCAAAATGGGCGATCTCGTTCGTGTGACTAATTCTCTTGAAGTGAATTCAATAGTTGGCTACGAAGCAATAATTTTGGATTCATATCATTTGTTACGCTCCTCACACCACCAACAGGGGCCTTGCCCGTTTGCTGTTTGAAGCTGGTGGAATCGATACCAGTTGTTTGGTTGTTCTATTCAATGACCAGAATAGCCGGGACACTGAAATGAAACAGGTTGGTTGCCAAAATCCTATGTCATCAAATGGACGTTCGATGTAGCTGCTCGGCAAAAGAATGCGCTAGGACATCGAGACGGCTCTACGAGACACGGTATCAAAAAATTCCAAACAGCTTTTCAATTAAAATGAAACAACCCAAAAATCACTGAATAGCTTTTTCTTCCACGTACGCAAATCCAGATATAGCGACGACAAATGAAACCATGTCATGAGGCAGGTAGGAAGGTTGCATCATCCGACACGTAGTGGGACCGTGAGATATGGGATAATCGAAGAGGTGTAGTCGTAAAATTATTGGTTGGAGGGTTACAAAGCAAGAGCATAGTGATCCTGATCATGGTCTGGTCCCCACATCTTGCGTCGTGCAGAGCGATTATGACGCAGAAATCGCGGACAAGCATAGTGGTAGTTTTCCAATCCTTAACCTGTTTATCCACCTATCTATCGCGGTTAAAGTGTAAAATATTGAGGATACCAATTCTGTCAAGGTGCCGGAATGTCCGAGGCTTCACCAGACAGTCGAATGGGAACAATGAGTACTTGTGCCAAGCACCCTCACAAAATCGAACTTGCTACACTTACGCGAATGCAAATGAGCCCAGGCCGATCAGATTACTCAAACAAACAGATTCGGTTTCACCATTTCCCGCGAATCCGAATTTATGGGAACAATATGTGCAAGGACGCATTCAGCGAGATGCAAGCAGTGATAAAATGCGGACACTAAGCCTTGTGACAAACGGCTAGTCTCGGGCTCCTCACTGTTTTATTTTGATATTTCTGTTAGTCTCGATTCGGGCATCCATCTACGTCACATGAATGAGGTCGGATAAGATCCTGAAGCGTTTAACAGTTTGCTCAAACTCGAAAGAGATTCATGCACCAAATGCGTTGTTTCCCTACGCAACGCCACGGTATCAGGTTACACATTTTTTATATTTGTAGCTGATTTCAACTGAAATAGCGCAGTTTTTTGTCTTCTCAGGCAGCGGAATGGCAATGACAAAAGTATTGCCCTTACAGAATATCATTACCTGCGTCCACATCATTGTAGTTGGGATTGTGTGTGCAAACTTGCGCACAATTAACCGTCAGTTATTATCATCTATTTTTGAGGATCATGGTCACAAACACAAAAAAACGAACGCAAGCGACGAATGCGAAAGTTTAACTGTATCATATGGGAGAAAATAAAGAAACGCCTCATTCGAATTCATGCAAACAACAGTTTCATTCAGATGAGAGAAATCCCAGCGTGTGTAAAAATTTTGGTATGGAAACACGCCTCTAAAGACCAACAACCAAGGAAAAGGCTCAACAATGTTGAATGCTTTTCAAGGCGCTGTAGCCGCTATCACAATCAGTACTTGCACATCAGGCACATAGTATCTGTCATACTGGGTGTGGTATGTGATTAAATGGAAAAAGCGTACACTGAGCGCCATGTGTCATGCATAAACGTGTCATAAGTATGCAGAGATCCCACAATGGCAAGCAAATACAAGTTAATGACTGTGACCTTGGGATATCCCAGTCCAGTGTCATCCTCGGCGGATTGAGAAAAGCAGATCCCTCGATAAGGCATGCTCATTGGTTGGCGGACCAAAAAGTCGACAACAAAATCGTTTGCATGTAGGACTGAGACTATGGCGGGGAAGTATTCATCTGAGACTATGGCGAAGAAATATTCATCAGCACCATACTTCTACTTCTTCTCATTCCACTCAGTTACTCCGCGCAAACCACTCGCATCACTAAGCGGCATCTCGCCACACCGAATTGCAGACGTTTCCACAGTCATTGATTCTCAAATGACGACGCGTATTAACTCACTCCTGCCTGCAAAGTACGGCTTTTACAATTCGCATCAAAACGTCCTTCAAAAAAATGTCGAACAAATCGGGAAGTTCTCAAACTTTTGGAAAATGCAAGCGGGAAACTTACGGTAATGTTTTTCTTCAGACATGTTTTTAAATATATCCAGATTAATACTTTAAGGTAGATTTGATGAGGTTAAGTCCTGGTGACTTTTGTGGTTTTGGTAAGGCTCGAGGGAAATTTCATTGTGTGAGCCCAGCGAACCAATAATAAAAAGCCGATAGATACTAAACTTTTGCTCCTGTTGCCACCCGAAGGTAGTTTACAAGATGTTTCAAGCTGCAGGAGAATGCCATCATACTTCAGTAGTGACCTGTTTTTAAAACATAACAATAAAAGGGTATGTTTATGTGCTAGCGGAGATCGAAGACAAAAAATCACACAGAATTGAATGAAGACCGACATCTTCAAACGGAGGTTAATTTTGCGTGGTCTACGGACATCAACTAACTCCCAGTTGCTAAATGCGTTTTTTTCCGGGACTCTCTTTGGAACTTTGATCCGACATGCAAACTTTGCGAGCGTAGCCGCTTGCCTATCCCCAATAAGGACTGAGCTAACGTTTGCTCCCATGTGTCTGAACAGTAATGTGGATAGGAACTGGCAGTCGTTTTCCTGCAGAATTTTATCCAATTTTAATGGGGATCATTCGGCACTTTTGTCAACAACGCACTAATATTTGTCCTTCTCAGGAAAGGAGATATGTAAGTTTGGCCCGACGCTACCTACGTTTGCGACTTGTTTGATGTAAATATGGGATTACCTACATCATGCTTATGAAAGATGATGGATCGCTGATCTTCTCGTTTTCCAAATTATCTGCGTCTGGACTCACGCGGGCTACGCTAGGCCATGAGCCAGTGCTTTGACTTGACTGAGGAATTGTGAGCAAACCAGCCAACAGAAGGTAGATCACGGGGCTATCCTTTATGACAGGTTAACGAACCAATATACATTTGAATGGTGATCCGGGCTTTCGCATTTATGCGGCAAAAATTTGAGTTAATTGTGGTAACACATGCTCTTAGGATACGATTCCGTCTAACTTGTACTCACTTTAGAGGAGAAAAGTGTAAAACGCTACTGACCATCTTACAACGCAGATAATGCGGAAGATCAATTAGCAGACTAAAACCGTACGCTTAACTAAAGTGGTAGCTACCATTTCGCAAGAGGCACTTTATTGTATCTTGTAAACAAATGGAAAACCGCAGTGAATAGCCACCTGACTCACAGATCTACAGACAGACCGCATTGTTAGCAGGTGCGCCAATTCGTACCATGCCGCGTGAACGTGTTCGCAGAACCAATGTGCTTAGGTTACTGCAGGACGACAAAATGACTCTCAGAAAACCTGACCTTTAACGTCGTCCCCAATAGCAGCTTTTATGTCCGGTTGAAGAACACTCGCACAGACATCGGTGGCTTGTTACTGTCAACTTACGTTCTTCTGAGCTGCGCGTCATAACACACTGTTAGTATGGCCAAATATGGCGCCACTAGCTGAGGAGTAGTATGGCTGAAACTGGTAAAATATATTGTTACATTTAGGCAATGCATGCGCATTGTTTTATTTTATGCGGATTACCTTTTCCGCCCACGCAACTGAGAATGTCCTGTGGTTAGTTATATTTATGGTTTGGTTTATTTTATGCTTAGCTTGAAGACATTCAGGAGTTTTCAGGTGGGTACCTCGAGTGCAAAGCCTACATACACGCATTTGTGCTCAAACATACATTATCAAGAATCGCTCAAAATATCATCCTCACCGATTAGATCAGTACAGAAAATGATGCCATGTAACGAAGAGAAGTTGCTTTTAAACATACTTCTTGTTTATCATAGCAGTATTCTGTTGCCATATATAGGATTCTGTTTCCAACCATTATCACTATAAGTGATGTTAGTGTGACGGTGTATATTACTGATGAGTCATCTGAGAAGTGTTTTCGCGTAACTCCGATTCGCGCTTTTTTGGAAA